CACAACGATAGTCCAGTCGGTATCATGATGGGGTAGGGTGCAGACAGTCCTGATTCGAATGGGGTGTTCTTTAACTTGGATTACTTAAGGAGTTTTCAGGACCCCTCAATGTCCTTGGATCGGTTTTTATCGGAGAAGGGCGTAAACTCTCAGATCTCACGTCTTAAATAACATTACAGTAATAAAAGACTCGCCGAACCAATACCATATAACAGTAACAGCCCTTTTGTCACGAAAAAACCATAGCAACATCCAAGGCTTTAAAACCACCGCAAGAGTCAATAACGCGGACTGGCTGTTTCAGCGTATTTGATTCGCTTTCTCTTAAAGTGACGTTCGCAGCCATTGCCCCTCTGTCCATTTTCCCAGCTTTCTCCTGTACACGAACATTGGAGGGACAACCCTGGCCAGCCACCGTGGTGTTGAGCGTAAATATTTTATAGCGTCGCCACTCTCTGGCCTTGGTCTTCATCAGAGGAGGGGGCCATGCTCCGGCGCCTTCTGGGCTTGAAAAGCAAGTCTGAGAGAAGGGTTGTGGGCCCCTGCTCGCACATGCTCCTCATTCAATATTTACCACCCGTCTTCTTGATAAGACTGATATAGGGAAAACCCACCCAGCTTCTTCTCAATGAACGTGACAGCGTGAAGAGAAAATCAACTAAGAGGAAAGTTGGCTCGTTGAAGGGAGTCCGATTTGAATAATCTGACAACTCTCTCGGGATCCAATTTCTCGAGGCAAAACTTTGAAAGTGACAAGTGTCACCAGATAGGAGGATTCATGTTCGTCGTTTGTGACGTACGTACATTCAATTTGTTTAAAGGACCAAAACAAAACAAAATAAAAACTCATCGATAAAAACGCCTAATGTAGTGTGACTTTACTTGAGTAGTTTGTGCAAACCAGTACTTGCCAATATGGCCATTGTGTAACCTAAACAAGTTTCGAGATGTCCCCACGCCTCCTAATGAAGAGGGTGTAGTCCTACTGTAAATTCTCCCACTGAGTGAACCCGATGCCAAACATGCATCACATCAGTGAAGGGCTCTCATCCGTTCGGTAAAAGAGAGCTGTACAGACCAAACGTGTTCAAAAGAAACATAATATATGTCGTAACAACATGAATACACGCCAAGCAGTCTTCCCAGCAGCATCGACAGCGCCGATATAAACCGGCCAATCCCCAGTGTGATGATCAAAGAACAAAGCAGGTCACGCCAATATCGAACATGCCAAAGAGACGGCGCGTGGGAGAGCTAAAGAGGACGGAGAGAGAGA